TTAAGAGGTTTCTGTGTCGAGTAGCATCGGTTGGATCCTTTTGATTTGGAGAAAAAAAAAAAGGAAAACAATTATAAAACTTTGCTCTATGGGGTCTATATGATGGGACCAGGTTAGCGGTTTGGGTCTTAGCTTCTGTGTGCAGCTCCGGTGTTTCGTCTGTGTTGAACCCTGAGTTTTCCCGTTCGTCCACGGTCCTGTCATCTCCTGTAGATCCACACATCTGACACGGGGAAGCCATCTTCTCCCCGGAGACAAATTTAAACACTTTTGGACTCGATCAAAGACGAGCTAACATCAATATTCATCATCCAGCTTCTCAGCATGACCTTTGACCCCCACAGGAACACTCGGTTCTGTTTATCCTTCATGAACAGACTGAAAGCCAGCGCGGTGTGAGGGGACGAGCCGCATGTTGGGAGATACTTTAATTTAAAAAAGAAGAACACACCTACACGCTTTTCACCTGCAATTATGGAGGGAAATTTGTTTGTCACATACGTTCACGTAATTATGGAGCCGATTCACGCTCTTCTGTACGTAAGCATCTAATCAGAACACGCTGACAGCTGGCAGAGGGTGTGTGTGTGTGTGTGTGTGTGAGAGAGAGAGAGAGATGGATGTTTAACCATGTGGGGTCGGATATTTTGTTTACGTGAATACACTCAGGTAATTACCGTCTCTTCTCTGTTATGGATGACAATTCTCTCTTACACACACACACACACATGCACACACGGTTTTAATGGAGCCGTTTGATTGGTTGGACTCAGTTTTGATTGGCGCTTGTCAGAAGCTTGGCTGCATGAATATTTCTGACAGCGTGTTCATTTCTTTGGGTAATCTGGTTTAAACCCAGAAGCTTCTGCCTCCCAGTAGCTCAGAATCAGTTCCTGGTTCTGGAGTCCAGTTAGCACCATGTTCCTGTGGTGGGTTCTTTTAGGTTCTGGTTGACTGAACCAGTGTGGCTGACAAACCGAAACCTGGTGAGAGATGCACCGATTCTGGTTTTGAAGGCCAGTACCGATTTCTGACTGTTGTTCGGCTCTGAGCCGCTGATACGGATTTTCTTAAATGACTGTTGTGAACACAATATCCTCAAATATGATCAACATGGCCTTGTCCCTGAAATATAGAGATTCCTCAAGTTGGCCCAGGCACGGAAACACACCAAACAGAACAAAGTTCTCTTGTGCAACACGTTTTATCTTCAGCTCAATGGTCACGTGGAAACGCGACTCACAACAGTCCAGCAGTCCTGAAATCGAAAGTGATGAAAAGTTCTCCAGACTTATGAACCCGTCTTGTCTCGTTTGAACATTAAACCACAGAGGTGATTTACAAACAAACAAATAAATGAATGTGGACGTTGCAGAAGGGGGAGGTTTAAATCTAACCATCTCTCACTTCCCATTACGGGGTCTGGCGACGGCGAATCGCAGCGACTCACGTCTCTGACCTCATTAATCTGAGTCTCTACACGTCGATGATGATGGTCTGATTTCATCAAAGGCTCCTCAGACGAGTTTCCTCTTCATCCTCACAAACAACACACTTCTTTCAGCTGCAGCTCTGACAGAGGTCCAGCGCCCCCCAGTGAACACCTGAGGAATTCGGATAAATCCCATTTTAGCTGTTGGTAAAATCCTGAATGCTGTTCCCGTTTCATCCGAGCTGCTTTAGCATCGTCGTCTCGTCTCGTTTGAAACGTGGTCTGAACATCAACCTACAGAGATAATCTTACTTCCTTTTGGAGAATGATGTTAGAGTTTAATCCCATAATGAAATGCTGCAGATTTGATCCTTATTTTGTTTATTTACCGGCTTTTCTAACATATTTATCTGGACTTTAAATTTCTTACTGAGTAGTTTTAGGTTTTAATCTCTAGTCCTGGTTCTTACACTGGAGCAGACCCACTGTTGTCTTCAAGTATCAGAAGAAGAAGAAAATATCATTTCTATAGGGCCTCTCAAGACAAAAATCACGAGGCGCTTCACAAAAACAAAAAATGTAAAAATATAAAAAAGCATTTAGAAAATGTTTAAAAATATATTTAAAATGAGCAAAAATAGACAATTGTGATTAAAACGTGTTAGAAAGAGAGAGAATGAACAGGAAAGAGGGAAATCAGTGGATCCTGAGGAAGGTGGAATAGGTGGGGAGAGAAGAATAAAGAGAGAGAGGTGAAGAAGGTCATACAAAAGCCAGCTTGAACAAGTGAGTCTTCAGCTGCTTTTTAAAGGAGACCACTGAGTCCACTGATCTCAGGCTCAGGGGGAGAGAGTTCCAGAGTCTGGGGGCCACAGCAGCAGATGATCTGTCACCTTTGACCTTTAGCCTGGTGCTGCACAACCAGTAGGCTTTGGTCACTGGACCTCAGGGACCTGCTGGGGGTGTAGGGACTAAGAAGATCAACAATGTAAGATGGTGCTTGTCCATGTAAGGCCCTATAGACCAGAACCAGGATCTTGGAATGAACCCTGAAGTTGACTGGCAGCCAGTGAAGCTGGAGGAGAAGCGGGGTGATGTGGGTGTGTTTGGAGGACTTGGTCAGAAGCCGAGCACAGGCGTTCTGAACCACCTGTAGACGGTTCAGGGAGGTTCTGCTCAGACACGTGAAAAGAGAGTTACAGTAGTCTAAGCGTGAGGAGATGAAGGTGTGGAGAACTGTCTCAAGTTCAGAGCGGGACAGAATGGGACTCAGCTTAGCAACGTTCCTGAGATGGAAGAAGGAAGAGCGAACAAGAGAAGTGCTTATTAGTGATTTGTTAAGAGCTTATTGATGATTATTAAGTTATTAATTAGGCATTTATAAGCACTGTGTAGCGTGATGTTCACACAGTACCATCACCAAGGTCGGACGCTTGGTTCAGTATGTTTACATTCCAGGAGAAGAGACAGAAGAACAGAAGAAGAACGCTTTTCATTGATTAATCAAAGTACTTTATTTGTGATAAGCTAATCAAAGCATTTGTTGATCATTAATAATCAGGTGAATGATCTGTGAAATAAAGATGTCATGAGTTATGTGTTTAAATGAATAAACAGGACTGCACCAGACAGACTGATATACATTACCATGGAAACGCATGACACATTATTCTCAACCAATCAGAACTTTCGTCTGTGGTAGAGCAGAATCTGGTTTGTTTATGAAAGTAGTCCAATCCGGTTTACTAAGATTCTTAAACAACTGGGAGATATAAAAGAAGGCAACGCCATTTTAAGTTCAGTTCCACGTTGACATCAGCTCTGCTCGATCCGAGCTCCAAAGGAGTGACATCATACTCTCAACATTGTTTTCAACCAGCTCTCAATCCATCACCGCAAAGAGGAGTACAGGCTGGCCAGCTGTATTTCCTGTTTTAAGCTGAGATCTGTCAAGCTGGAGATTTCCGTCGTTTGTACCAACGAGACAACGTTCCTTCAAAATAAGAGTGAACTTGCTGACGCCTGCCGACTACTACCGGAGTTATCCTCAGACAGGCGTTGTGTGCTGAGACCGCTGTTTCAACCAGCTCCAGTACCCATGAAGGTCCGAGGACCTGGCAATTCCTGATCTACACGGGAGACTCCATACGGTACGTGGTCACGGCACAAAATGGCGGCTCATGTCATCAGCTTCTGAAGCCTCGTGGTAGCCTAGTCATAACAACCAGATTCGCTACGTCAGCCTAGAGATTCTGAACAAAACACACACACACACACCAACACGAAACATACAAATCCATATGCATTCATCATTGAGATAGTCCTGGTAGATTGTAAGAATTTATAATTATAGAAATTAAAGATTCTTAAACGATCCCAACTCTCTCTCTTTTCTTGTCTCTCAGTCAATACAAAGTGTTTAAGTAAACTCCCTGATGATAAAAACAACCACTTCTGATTGATTACTTAGATCTAATTACAGTGTATAAATATACAAAATCAGATAATTAAATTATTTAATTACAGTGTATATAAATATACAACTTCAAATCATTACAACTGTCTGATGGTCAGCTGGCACCATTTAGTTTGTTTGTAGCTGTTTGGTTTAAAACAGAGGATTGCTGTAAAGACTCCGACACTAGTCAGTGACTCGATGCAACCTGTGTGTTGGATTGTTTACTGTGTGGAGTGCCTTGTTTGGCGCTTTATAAATAAACTTGGATTTAAAACAATGTTTCTGTCTCTGTTTTTATTTCCTGGTTTGAAACTTAGAGATGCACCAACAATTTGCCACAATCGTCGTAATCCGTGAGCCGCCAAAACTCTACAGTTTATTTCATGAATGCAGCATCAGTTAAAAGTCCTGGTCAGTGAACACACCGTCACTCCAATAGGCAAAATGCTCATCCATGTGGAAGTGCGAACGAACGAATGTCCGAGTTAACCCCGTGTTTCATTCTGTTCAGTTGTGTGAGCTGAGTCAGCATCAGCAGGTCAGAGCTGTGCAGGAAACGGTCAAGCGGAACCTGAATCGGTCCATTTCTGTAGAAGTTCGGCGAGCGCCTTATTGTTGGAGTCCAGCCAATCAGATCACTGGTCCTAGCAAAGAGGAGGAGTTTAGTGCAGATGGAAACCGTCATGAAGGTTTGGGGCTTTTAATTAGAATTTAGGTTTAAATGAAAACGTTTTCTTTTGTACAGAATAAAGACGTCAAAAAAACCGGCCCGGACTCGGTGCTGGACGAGGTCAGCTCTGAGCTGCAGCAGCGTTTCTTAATCACAAACCCGGCTCAGCTTGTACGCCGCTTGTTTAAGGAAGGAGGTTTCTTTTGAGCTGGACCTCCAGGTCCGACAAACAAACGATAACAAGGAAATCTTCAGCATGTTTCCTTATTTATGCGTGTTCATTTTCTTGTTTTAACTGATTTATTTTCACAAAATGACTTAAATGTAATTTTAAAAATGAACATTTCTGGATTTAAACTTGTTTTAAAATATTCCTGTTCATGTACAAGAGCCCAGGTGGGAGGTGGTGTTTATCTTAATAAATCTGTTTCTGTTGTCAGACTCTCTCAGATCAAAGGTCGTCGGCAGCAGCTGACCTCTGACCTGTTGGATCTTCAGCAGAAGAAGACACAGACAGAAGAAGAGCTGAGGAGGAGCTCCTGTCCTCAGGCGTCTGCAGTAAGAGAGACTCATCAGACGTGATGTCCTTCTTCATCAGTCACGATTGAACTTCCTCTCTGTAAAAACGTTCCTTCTGTTCCGTCGGTTTCAGCTCTGCGCTTGTCGGGAGCTTCAGTCGTTCATCGGCGAGCATTTGGTCCAGTCTGAGAAGTTGGTGTTCCAGGAGCAGGCTCTGAGCACGCTTCGTGACCTACTGACCCAGGACCTGCACACCTACCAGGAAGAGACTCGGAAACTCACCTGCTTCACCCAGAAAATACTCAGAAGGTAAGCAGATGGCTGTGTCTCCATCTGGTGGTTGCTCGGGCCGGGGCCGGAAGACAGAACCTTTATCTGTGATTTATTTTGACAGGTCAGACAGAGAGGAGACCTCCAGAGTGACAGAAGGTGACACAAGCATGCTGGGAAAGAACGAGACGGAGCTCGGAGACAATGTGGTAACCAGCCTCCTCCTCCTGTCCATTTAAAGGGAAATGTCGGCCATTTTCAGGCTTGTTTCTGTGTTAAAGCTCTAAAACAAAGTCTTACCTGCTGATAACTTCCTGGTCGGCCTCTTCTCAGCTAATCTGTGCTTCTCTAACGGCTAGTCTGATTAGCTAACGGCTGGTCTGATTAGCTAACTGCTAGTCTGATTAAATAACGGGTAGGCTGATTAGCTAATGGCTAGTCTGATTAGCTAACTGCTAGTCTGATTAGCTAACTGCTAGTCTGATTAGCTAACGGGTAGGCTGATTAGCTAATGGCTAGACTGATTAGCTAATGGCTAGGCTGATTAGCTAATGGCTAGACTGATTAGCTAATGGCTAGGCTGATTAGCTAACTGCTAGTCTGATTAGCTAAGGGCTAGTCTGATTAGCTAACGGCTAGGCTGATTAGCTAACTGCTAGTCTGATTAGCTAAGGGCTAGTCTGATTAGCTAATGGCTAGGCTGATTAGCTAACTGCTAGGCTAATTAGCTAACTGCTAGTCTGATTAGCTAAGGGCTAGGCTGATTAGCTAACTGCTAGTCTGATTAGCTGAGGGCTAGTCTGATTAGCTAACGGCTAGGCTGATTAGCTAACTGCTAGGCTGATTAGCTAACTGCTAGGCTGATTAGCTAATGGCTAGTCTGATTAGCTAAGGGCTAGGCTGATTAGCTAAGGGCTAGGCTGATTAGCTCAGGGCTAGGCTGATTAGCTCAGGGCTAGGTTGATTAGCTAACGGCTAGACTGATTAGCTAACGGCTAGGCTGATTAGCTAACGGCTAGGCTGATTAGCTAACGGCTTGGCTGATTAAATGGTAAATGGCCTGTTTTTGATACAGCGCCTTCTAGAGTCCTGGAACCCCAAGGCACTTTAGAAAACAAGTAGTCATTCACCCATTCACACGCTGGTGGTGATGAGCTTAGCTACATTGTAGCCACAGCTGCCCTGGGGCGCACTGACAGAGGTGTGGCTGCCGAGCTCAGGCAAGGTGGGTTAAGTGTCTTGCCCAAGGACACAACAGCAGAATTCTCTGTCCAGAGCCAGTATTGAACCTGCAACCTTAATTAAAGGAAAAGTCAAGTGATACAAAAACCAACTCTTATGAAACATGATCTTAGATGTTATTAAGAGTCTATTAGGTGTCTTAGGAAAGATGTGAAGTCTGGGATTACAAGAACTATCTGGCTGAGTTTAGTGATGTTTGATTAGTTATCAGATTAATCTTAACCCATCCAACGCCAGTAAGCTGGTCTACGATACCCTGAAGGAACGGAGGTGAAGAGCATGTGAAGCAGGTCGGAAGTGTCAGGTGCAGGGCTTAATTCTAGCTTAAGATCTCGCCGGAACAAGATCCAGGAACTGTCTTATTTTGAAAGGACCATTCCGGCAACTGTCTGCTAGGTTCAATTCAATTCAAGTTTATTGATAAAGCGCCAAATCACGACAAGCGTCGTCTCAAGGCACTTCACATAATAAACATTCCAATTCAGGTCAGTTCATTAAGCCAATCAGAAAAAATGTTTCCTGTATAAGGAACCCAGCAAATTGCATCAAGTCACTGACTAGTGTCAGTGACTATACAGCAATCCTCATACTAAGCAAGCATGCAGCGACAATGGAGAGAAAAACTCCCTTTTAACAGGAAGAAACCTCCAGAGGATCCTGGCTCAGTATAAGCAGCCATCCTCCACGACTCACTCACCCTCAGGTTCCGTCAACTCACGCGAGCTACTTGTGCCATACGCAGGGTCCAAATTACGGGTGAGCTGAAGGGAGCCCGGCTCACCTGGAAGGGTAATAGGCTCTCCTGGAAGCCCTCAAATTCCACACCCAGGGGGAGCCCGAAACGATCCTGGTTCTACTTATATTACATTATCTATGTGGACTCTCCGGGGATTTTTTAGAGCTGAGAGGCGCAGAGCTCTGATCGTTGACGCGCTCCAGACATCTGCGTCCTGAGCACGGCCACAGTAACATTATCAAATCAGGTGTCGCCACCTCAAAAACAAATTTAACACGCGATCGTTCATGTCGGCTCGTTTCCTTTTATGTTTTCTGTCTTTTATTCTTTTATTTGTGTCTGATGCGTTTCGCTGCTGCGGAGCGGAGCGCATCACCTGTTTTGTCCTCCGGTGACGCACCTCACCGGTGCGACCGGCGCGCACTCCGCTGTTTTAGCGGTCGGTAGATCTTTTAGAACTGCAGTTCAAAGGTAACTCATGAGGTGAATATATATGAACCCAGGTAGCAGTTTTTCTTTAGGACTGAGAGGAGATGCAGGAAGATAATAAACAGACAGGACAGAAAAATAGTCAAATAAAAACAAGTTAGTTTTTGTACCTGGTGGTTGCAACAAACAGACACCATTGAAGGTAATCAGAAGTGAGGAACAGGAAATGAAATAATTATTTAAATGTTTAGAGCAGCAGGAACTCTGAGAGGCTGCAGGCGCATCAGTGAGTTTGCAGCCGCTGTGCGGGGGGAGGGGGGGGGGACATGGGTAAAAGGGTGCTGATGTTGGAGCCAGCAGGCAGGAGACTGAGAGGAGACGGATGATTGGCTGAGACCTCTGAAGCGTTTCAGCTGAGAAATAAAATTAACTAGTTTCATTTTATCTTTTTATAAAAACATTTAAAGGGAAATGAGAACAAAATGGGGGAGACGCTAATGTTAGCTTAGCTGTGTGTGTGTGTGTGTGTGTGTGTGTTTTCCTGGCTTTGGTCCAGCTGTTGTCAGTCTTTCCCAGACAGTCGGAGTAGAGACTGGGGAAACATCTGCCTGCTCATCTGGCTTTGTCTGTCACACACACACACACACACACACACACACACACACACACACACACACACACACACACACACACACACACACACACACACACACACACACACACACACACACACACACACACACACACACACACACACACACACACACACACACACACACACACACACACACACACACACACACACACCTCCCCATATTAAACGGAGGGAGCTGTGACAGGAAACCTGCTTTAGAGTCTTATTATAACAGGAAGCTGTCAACGTGTCGCTTCAGTTTATCTGCTGAAGCTTACACACGAGCTGCTGAGGCCGGCAGCCAGGACGGCGCTCCTCCTGGCTGCAAACACTGGAACTACTCGCCTTGCTCTTCACTCTGACCTGTTTCTTCTCAGAAATATCTGATTGTTGTGGGTTTTTTAGAAAGGCGGCCCAGATGTCTACAGTTCATTAAACCCAAACGGACCTGATGACTAAGTAGTCTTGACTTAGTTAATGACAGGAAGTAGTCTTTGTCATCAGAGAAAATGCAGGCGTAAACGGACATTTCTGGAGAAGTCTGTTAGCTCGTTAGCGTTGGAGTTTAGATGGAAAAACTTTAGATTAAAGATTAAAGTTGAGTTATTTTTTCTCTGCTGCATCTGAGCAGATTAAAGACCTGGATTTAGTTTTTATTCACTTTAACCTGCTGAGTAAAAGTTTCCCATGTGGTCATTAGTTCCCAGCGTCTCTGGATGCTAATTCACCTGGGATGTGGATTTGTGGAGAACTGGGTCGGCTCGGATCAGATCCGGATTTACAAACCGGCAGATGTCACACGTCCTGGTGTTTTCCTCACCCCGTTTCCCAAAATAATCGTTCACTTCAAATTCAAAGATACTTTATTAATCCCAGAGGGAAATCCATAAATGAAGAGGTGAACAGTTTGCTGTGGCTTCTGTTCTCTCTCTCTCTCTCTCTCTCTCTCTCTCTCTCTCTCTCTCTCTCTCTCTCTCCTCTCTCTCTCTTTCTCTCTCTCTCTCTCTCTCTTTCTCTCTCTCGCTCTGTGTGTGTGTGTGTGTGTGTGTGTGTGTGTGTGTGTGTGTGTGCGGGTTGGGGGTGTCAACCCCCCTCCCCAAATATCCTCTGCAGTCAGCTGGGGGGTAACCTATTTCTCACAGGACTTAATCTGAGAATATGTTTAATCTGGCATCATTCTGATTGGATTTTAATCTAATGGGTTTATTTTGAGTTGAATTAAAGGTTTTAGTGGAAACTGAGATCCACCCTGGATCAACGACTGTGGGAAGTCTCTCAGACTTAAACCTGCTAAATGTTTTCTGATTTTAGGTTTTTAACCAAATGAGAAAATAAAACTGGTGTTTTATGATCGTTCTGTCTGTCAGTCCTCAGAACGTTTGCTTCTGATGTCGGTTTCATTTTCTTTTTGATGAAATTACGCAGAATAATTATTAAAAATGCGGAAATTTTCATAAAGTCAAAGGATGTCTAAAATGTCGTATTTTCTTTGTGAGTTGCAGGTCCACGTTGGAATTTTAAAACACAAATTCTAAAACTAAAATTCTCTCAAAGTAGTCCCGGACACGATGTGAGCGTCTGGAACTTGTCCCAGTTTAGTCTCAGGAGAGTTGGAAATGACAGGACTTGTGAGACAACTCTGGGAGAAATCAGAGATGATGTTGCAAATAAAATAAAATGTTTTATGTTTCAACAAGAAATTTTGCATAACTGTTAGTTTGCTTAGTGTGGTACGTTCTGATCCAGCTGTATGTTCTGATCCAGTCTGATCCAGTGTGGTACGTTCTGATCCAATGTGGTACGTTCTGAGCCAGTGTGGTATGTTCTGATCCAGTGTGGTACGTTCTGATCCAGTGTGGTATGTTCTGATCCAGTGAGGGCCAGTGTGGTATGTTCTGATACAGTGAGGGCCAGTGTGGTACGTTCTGATCCAGTCTGATGGTACGTTCTGATCCAGTGTGGTATGTTCTGATCCAGTGAGGGCCAGTGTGGTATGTTCTGATCCAGTGTGGTACGTTCTGATCCAGTGTGGTATGTTCTGATCCAGTGAGGGCCAGTGTGGTACGTTCTGATCCAGTCTGATGGTACGTTCTGATCCAGTCTGATGGTACGTTCTGATCCAGTGTGGTACGTTCTGATCCAGTGTGGTACGTTCTGATCCAGTGTGG